CTCGGCTAAACGCAAAACAAGAGCTGATATAAAGGTGGAGGACATAAGTAAATATAAATGTAAATACAAGTATATAAAGGGCACGTCTCATATCAAGCTCCATGTGCCCGCGCCGTTCAAAACAATTTTTTCACTCAGTTTTTGTCCAGAGAACATTTTCGTTCAAGAACATCAGCCTAGCACTTTAAAAAAAAATGCGGACCAACTTTCCACCTCTTCTTCTTCCACAACTTCAAAAAGCAAATCTCTTCAGTAAAACTTAAATACATACATATATAAATAATATATAACTTATAAAATAAAGGGGTGCCATACAAAACATTAGGGATGTGGTGAAATGTCAAGTTCGAACTCACTGAAACATTTTTGTCCTGACACAATTTCCACACAACCTAAACAAAAACCATTGGGGTGTTAAATGCTAAAGCTGGAAGATTGTTTAATTAAAATATTATTGTTTGTTTGTTATTAAGTTATAGTTATAAATGTTGAAAAAAATGGACTAAAATTCAATCCAATAAAAAATTAAATTTATAAAAAAGGGGTAAAATATATTTTGAATTTCATTTAATACATTTTAGTTTTAAATTTTTAATCCGAATCCGGACAAATTCAGCTTCAAAACTTTAAAATTGTTTGGTCTGCTTTATAAAAGGCAAATTATTTCATTAGTGTTTTACAAAAATCTTCATTTTAATAATTATGTCCATCAAACGTTTCATTTTTTAACGGTTTTTAGTCAAAAATTTAACATCTCTTATAGATCAATCGATATACATGCGAATTATTACTAAGATTAGGCTAAACACTGGCAAAATTTTCGGTGTTTTAAAATCACCCATAACCACCCATATGGCATGGGTGGCACCGTAAATTAAAATTGAAGCGAAGTTTGAGTGGAAGTGTTTTGTGTTGTATCTCCGATTAATAAAAATACTTAAGCCGCTCGTCATCAAGAACTTCAACCAAGCACCTTAAAAAAAACAAGAAAGAACAGCTATATGCGAGATTCTTGACTATATTATACCAGATAGTCATCTCTTTCACCCCCACTTTAACTATCCTTTCAAGTTAATAGCTATAGATTCTCAGCAAACAAATTTACCACTTTTCGAAAAGCGGTGAAACTGCCCAAACGGAGGCCAAGCCTGGATTAACGGTCAGGAAGGTTCCATCAGGACAACGCAAGGCCACACTCATCTTTGGTGACGCCCCAGAAGCTCCGGGAGTCGGATGATAGGTTCTTTTGCATCCACCGTATAGTCCGGATCTCGCACCTAGTGATTACCACCTATTTCTGTCTATGGCAAACGCGCTTGGTAGTCACAAGTTGGACACAAGAGAGTCTTGTGAAAATTGGCTATCCTAGTTTTTGTTCATAAAAACCAATTTTATGAACAATTGAAAATTCAATAAAAATACTGCAAGACTTGTAGCTATGGGTGACATTAATATCCCACAACTTAAGTTGACTAATGTGGATCATTTATTATCTTTATCGGTCAAATTATTCACGTAAGAAATTCTTTAGGTTGGCTGCTGCAATTGTTTTTCGTTTCCGATCTAAATGAAATTCCACTTTCCAGAACTACTTTCTAACCATGATCCATATCATCCCATTCTTGAGGTTTCAATGAATTTGAAATTTTATTGGTCCATTCACTGGAATATTAAGATACAAATTTTGACATACATAAATAGAAATGTATGTATTTTTTTATTATAAAGAACGTTAAAATAAGACTTTTTAATAAACATAAAACAACTGGCTGTATAATTTGTTACTCAAAATACTTAGTACCTTAGTCTAATTTCACCGATCATGACGCGGAAAGTTAGAAAAGTTATATTCGACGTTGCCTGATTAAGTGTACTCACACTAAAGCAAATACTAAAACGTAAACATGCATCTTTTCTACCGCTGCCTACGTTTGAAAACTCATGCGTTTATTATCCAGGCTCCGATGGATTACCAGGCAGTGTTCTCAAGAACTGTGCCGATGCCTTGTACCTCTCCTTAAACTCTTAAACCCATCTCGGGAAACTAAGACATTTCTCCTCATGTGGAAGAATTCTCACAATATTCCTCGGAAAAAAAGGCAAAATTAGACGCTGCCAATAATAGAGGCATTTCTAAATATAATTTAAAAAGCTTTTAAAAAAAAATTATTTCTTTAAAGAAGCTATCTTGGACCCTTATTTTTTATCGACGATAGGCCCCTTAACTGGTACTTATAACTATTAACTGGCTATTATAACTCACTGGTACTTATGTACGCTTATAAAGTTAATTTTTCCATCCAGATAATTTTCGTAAAAGGTTTTTTACAAATTACAGCTTGATGAAACGAAATGCAGGCTTATTTAATCTTAATTGATCTAGTCCTCACTAGGCTCTTTCATTTTTCTATTAACCCACGTTAACGATCTGGGTGTCATATTAGATTTGAAACTAGGGTTGTTGGTTTTTGAAAAAATATCGTATTGATGATATTTGCTGTGAAAAAAATATCAATCGATAATATTCAGAAATATCACCCAAAAAAATCGATATATCGAGTATTTTCGATATTTTTTATAGTCAGCTAAATTTGAAAAAAGGTTATTTTTAAATTTAAAAAAAGGTTTTAATATGTGTTGTCATCCGCCATGAACTGCAAACAAGACATATTTTTTATTTAAAAAGTGAATTGAAAAAACAACAAATATTTATACCCACTCTCAAGCAACTTTTATTTAAGTTCTTTGAAATAAAAAATAACAAAATTATTAAGGACATTGTATTCAAATTTATTTATAAAAAAAACTTAATACAAAAAAAAAAGTTTCATGGAATTCATGGAATATGTACTTAATAATTCTAATTACTTAATTCTCTTATTTAATGCTCTTAATTACTCTTAATTACAAAATAAATCTTTCTTCAATGATTTAAAAAAAACTCTTTCGGTTATATGCTGGTCTGTCATTCGACTACGGGAGTCACAGACAATACATTTAATGGCAGAAGCCAACCGTTCAGATGGAACCGAACTTCCAGGCGTGATAAGATCGTTGAAATTTGTGAGTTCCAGAATTCCAACGGATTTGTCTCCCAACTACAAAATGGCATACTCAAGTAAACCTGCATTTCCTTTCTTTCGCAACAAATATCGGAGAACACCAACTCAAAAATATTATTATCGACTATTTTTGCCCAAAAAATATCACGATAATAATATTTTTTTAAGAGAAAATATATCGATATATCGATATTTTGATATATTTCCGACATCCCTATTTGAAACTTACATTTTCCGACCATATTTACCATTTTTAATAAAGCAAAGGGCGTATTTGGTTTTATTAAAAGACCATTTTTAATGACAGAATTTAATTACCCTTAATCAACTAAAACTCTATACGTATCTTTGGTCTATCCGATACATGAGATTGAATCGTGTCAGGAACCCTCAATACTGAGTATATCGAGATCGCATCGTATCTGTAAAATAGAAACTTTGTGATTTTTGCGCTTAATTGGAATAAATCTTCACCTCCTTTTTTACCATAGTCTATTTTTATACCCTTGCAGAGGGTATTATAATTTTGGTCAAAAGTGTGCAACGCAGTGAAGGAGACATCTCCGACCCTATAAAGTATATATATTCTTGATCAGGATCACCTCTTGAGTTGATATAAGCATGTCCGTCTGTCTGTTTCTACGCAAACTAGTCTCTCAGTTTTAAAGCTGTTGTCTTGAAACTTTGCATACACCCTTCTTTCTTTTGCACGCAGTATATAAGTCAGAAAGGCCCGGATCGGCCGACGATAACTTGAAGCTGCCATATAATTGATTGATCGGAAATGGTATAACTTTGGTGTTTTTAGAGTTAGAGAGTTCAAATTTTACAAGAGAGCTATTTAATAAGCAAAATAATACGACATGCCAAATTTCATAATGATTGGTCGACTATATCCTATAGCTGCCATATAACTGAACAATCGAAAATGACCCAACTATAGAAAGCTGAAACTTCATGCAGATTCTATTTTTGGTCAAATAATCCAACCTACCTACCAACTTCATGCAGATTCTATTTTTGGTCAGATAATCCGACCTACCATAACGATCGGTCGACTACATCTTATAGCTGCCATACAACTGAACGATCGGAAATGGTTTTTGGTAGAAATACCAACTTTGGTATTTTTAAAGATAGTAGTTTGGGAAATGTTTTAAATTTTGTATTATTATAAATTGGGTTATATTGTCATATTCTCATAAGGATCAGCCAACTATATCCGATGTTTGCGACCGGATATAGGTTTTAACTGCAAGGGTATATCAACTTCGGCTCCGCCCGAAGTTAGCTTTCCTTTCTTGTTATTAATTATGTTAAGAGGAGCCCCAAATAAGAAGGTCGCACTCCAATGAGTTCCGTTTAAAAACTGATTTTATTTGGTAAAGTTCTCTTATAAGTACGATACATAAAAATCTTAAATCTATTTAAAATTACTTATCAACGCACTGCACGCTGACATGCTATGCGGCCCTTTCTCAAGTACGAAAAGCGCACCACTTATGTATGTGTTTGTGTTATATTGCAGGGGATCGGTTTTAGACCATGCTGTTTGTGTCTTATTTCATGGGTCCGATCCCTTGAAACTCTAACTTAACAATTTGTATATATAATAGTGTGCAATGCTTGAACAAATTAACTTGCAATTTAATTTTCTTACAAAACCTTAATGGTGATGTAGAGTCAGCATCTATTAACACGATTAAAAATTTCAAACATATAAATATTTTAATTTATATCTGGAAAACAAAATTTAGACAAATCGGCAAACAAAAAACATACATACATATGTATGTCTTTCATTTTAAAGCGGCAAAAATGAAAGATGCAATGGAGCGACTTCAAAAATAATACAAATAATTAGAATATTTGTATATACATATATTGTTTTATGAAAAAACTTATCCTTTACTATTAACTATTATAACTACATATACTATTAACTGGGTCTCATATTCACTCACCAACATAAAATCCAAACAACGACGTAGTGGTAAAAATGCTTAAGAGAGAACAAAAGAGAAACTATAACGATTTTTCGGAGTACCGTTAGTCTTATATGTAGTCTTTTCTCTTATGGATGCTGCAGTACTTTTATCTCGCTGCAAATTTGGTGAGAGATGGACATTAAATGTTGTGGATGGTTCCTTTTCACTGCTAGTCCTGCTTCCTTCATTGTTGTTGTGTTACTGTTTCTGCATTTTCTGCTATCGCCGTACAAGAAGTAATTTTCAGAAGGCTTATCATGGATATATCAGTCAGCTCATTGGTAATGCTAAGAACAGACGTAGGAACGTTTTAAGAAAAAATCAACATTACTTTAAAAATAGTTTTGTTTATATAATTGTGAAATTTATTTTACGTAGTAAATGGCCTCGCAAGAATAAAAAAAAATTATTAAATAAAGTGTCTAAGAAGTTGTGAATAATTGTATTTGGCAATATAATTATTAGTTTTTTCGTGAATGTTAAGTTCCCGTATTCCCTAAATCCCGTATAATGTATTCGGTAACTATAAGCTCATGCATTGTTGGACTTGGCCAAGCATTTAAATTGTTAAATGATGAAGTGTATGTTACAGCTTCCTGGATTAAGAAATTATTCTTAAGAAATTAAGAAATTAAAATTATTCAATAATGTAAATAATTTTAATAATAATAATAATAATTTAAATTATTGACCAATCATATCTATTATAGTAATCTATAATCATATTTTTTTCGTATTAGTGAAAATAATTTCAATTATATTGTAGCAATACTATGATGTACAAATGTCTTATATTCTGATTACATATGTATGTATGTAAACGTACATAAATATGTATATTCCTATTGTGCTTTTACCATCTTTGCAAACACCGTAAGCCACGACATCATTAGTTGAACCATTCTTGTTGGTACTTCTTAGACTTAAGCTTTTTCGGGGTTGCCACTCACATCCCCATCCGGATACGTATCCAATTTTGAGGTGACACTCTTAACCCAAAGCACCAGAAACCCAAAGCAGGTTTTTAAACAGACATGAAGAGAAAAAAGTTTCACAGAACTTTTCTGTTGTAAGCGGATTCTATTGAAGAGTGGAATCAAAGCTTTTAGAATTAAGAGTTCAGAATCTAAAGTTTAGATCATTATTTCTAAGTGATATAAATAAATATATATGTCCGATCATTAAAACATTAATATTGTATAGACGATTATAATTATATTTATTTAATTTATTAATTATATATATTCATTATATGTTTTTGGGCATAGACATAGAAACTACATATGTTTATTTTATAGAATTGGTTTTAAAAATAATGAATAAGCAAAGTGCGTTTTGAAGCTGTAGTATTCAAACTTTGCACCCAGACTTCTTTCCTTTGAATAAAGTATATACTATAAGTCGAAACGATCGGGTTGGGCCGAAAAGGTTATGTTTTTGGCAAAATGATCCCGTCTACTACATTTCATCGCATAGTATATAGGATCAGACGACTATATCCCCTAGCTTCTATATTGGAAATTAACCAAGTTTGTTATTTTTGAAACTTATAAAAGAAACTTGGGAATTTAATTTAAAAATTTTCTTTATTTATTTATCCGATATCCGATGGATTTTAAAGATAAAAAATTGTTTCTTTCTTAAAGTTTTTGGAAAAACTATTTTTTTTTGTAAAATTATATGATTGAAATTGCAACATCAGCAAATAACTTTCGCTGCCTAGTGCAACTTTATTGCATTTCCAATCCACTGTTTTTAAAATCAGCTATCTACCAAAAAGAAAAAAATAGTTTCTATATTTGGTTCCTGATTTTGTAATGTTTAAATACACCTTTAAGAGCTGCTTAAATAGCGCTTTTATTATTCATTGACAGGAAAATGTTTAAAGATTAAAGCCACTTAGATAGGTTAAATCTTACACTGTGCTACGTACTAAATGGAAATGGTAGCTTTGTTGAATTTTTAAAAAGCGCACGTTATAGAAAAAAAGGTTTCACATAATCCGGGGATAAACGGCCGACAGAAGTTGTACTGAGAACTAGACTCTCAGTTTTAAAACTATCGAGTTGAAACTTTGCACACACCCTTCATTCCTTTGCACGCAGTATATACGTAGGAACTACTCGACTATATCATATAGCTGCCATATAACTATAACTTTAGTGTTTTTAGAGTTAGAGAGTTCTGATTTTGCTTGAGTGCTATTTTTTGCTAAATAATACAACATACAAAATTTCATAACGATTTGTATTGTACGATTTTTGTATTGTAATGAATTGGTTTTAAATATGAAGATATATCCATAATGATCGATATATATTAATCTTATAATGATCGAAAAGATATATTAAGATATTTTTATAATGATCGGTCAACTATATCCGATTTTCGCGATATATATTTGGTTTTATCTGCAAGGGTGTATCAGCTTTAGCTTTAGTTTTTCTTTCTAGTTTATTCTTTATAGTTTTTATTAAACCATACTTTCATACTTTTGTGCTTTGGAATTAACAACCAAAGCCATTCACTATATTCCAAGACAATGGAAACTAGCTGCGATTTTTATGGTACATAATCCTGGAAAACCAAAGGTTGATCCTGAGTCATATCGCCCAATAAGTCTCTTACTCTTCCTGTCTAACGTGAGGGAGACACTTATTTAAAATCGAATAACAATGACTTAATGATTTAAAACAGCATCCTGCCGATCACCAATTTGGCTTTCGAGGAGGACCCGGAAACGTGGAACAGATCTCATATAGATACAACATGTTTTGCAATGTTTTAATTGACATTCAGGAAGCCTTGGATAAGGTGTGGCTTATTATAAAAACTTAAAAATCTTTTACCTGGTCCCTACTATGCGGTATTATAGTGATATGTGGAAAGATGAGAGTTCAAAGGCAAAGTCAGATTTAGACTTTCGGATAATTAACGAGAGCAGGAGTTCGACAAGGTAGTGTGGTTGGACCGTTGTTTTATTCACTGTATACTGCCGATTAACCCAACCCCAACAGTCAACACCGAGACATCGCCGCTTACTTGCTAGAGAAATACTTAAAGCTAGACCTTTGAGGCGTCATAAACGACTAGGTTTCGCCTAAACTATTCGATTAAATAGAGTATAAGTTTAGATACTATAAGTACGTAATCCTCATAATTGTAATTTGGTTGGCATTTTTTTACATTTTTTCATTCCTTGTGATTGCTGTTCAGATTCTTCACTTAATAATAATAATAAAAAACAATAAAGAACGGGTATATTCGAGTCTACCTTGGCCGTACTGCAAGAAGTTTGTTGCAAACCTTTTGTGAAAATGGTGTTTGATGCGTTTTCTGATTAGAACTCCAGTTCTGCCGTATGCTTTCCCATCTGGATGATCTGTGCGGTAGATTGTGTAGCATCTTATTTCAAAGTTGTATTTGCTTCTAAGATGAGAGGCCTATAGCAAATAAAAATTTAAAAAATGTAATAAAATTTTAAATAAAAGAAATTCATAGCTCCGATGTCAACCATTTTGTTTGAGATCTCAACCAAAAGTGAGTTTTTGCAGTGAAAAGTTTTCGTTAATACAAAAACGAAGTGCCTTCGTATTAGTACGAAAAACTGAGAGACTATACAGTTGTTGTTGCCTAACACGGTAACGGAGACAACGAACGAAGAGACTAGGAAAAAACGAAAAATTGTTTTTGTATTTGGGCTTTGCCTATGCTGGGAGCAACACACGTATATGAAATTTCATTTCTATATGGGGCTGGACACCCCTGTCGTAGAGCATCGGCATAGGAGAAGCCGTTGGTGGTGTTTAGTAGACCGAATGAGGTCCTCGCAGCTTTGGCGAAGAAGACGCATTCTGTGGATTTTGGTTGCGGGTTGCGTTCGCTTTCATTATTGAAATATTAATTTTGGCCAGATGTTGTTTCAATTTCCTCTAGCTAGTCCACACGACCCCTTTTTTTGGTATAAAAAATATTAACTCACGAATGAAGCGAAATTTTTCGACTTCGTTTTTTTTATTGGACTACTATATCTTAAAGGCAGTAAAAATTAAAAAAAAAAAAGAAAGGAAAGCTAACTTCGGGCGGAGCCGAAGTTGATATACCCTTGCAGCTAAAACCGGATATATATCGCAAACATCGGATATAGTTGGCCGATCCTTATGATTACATCGTAATAAAACCAATTAATTACAATAAAAAATCTAAAAAAAAGTCCCAAGCTTCTATCTTCAAAAATACGAAAGTTGATATTTCTACCAAATACCATTTCCGATCGTTCAGTTATATGTCAGCTATAAGATATAGTCAACCGATCATTATGAAATTTGGTAGATCGGATTAACTGACACAGAATAACTGAAATAGAATGTGTACCAAGGGCCAGCTTTCTATCTTCAAAAACACGAAAGTTGGGTCATTTCCGATCGTTCAGTTATATGGCAGCTATAGGATATAGTCGGCCGTTCCTTAAATTTGGGATGTCGTATTGCCAAATATTTGCCAAAAAAAGCTCTCACGTAAAACTTGAACTCTCTAACTCTAAAACACCAAAGTTATACCATTTCCGATCAATCAGTTATATGGCAGGTATAGGATATAGTCGGCCGATCCCGGCCGTTCCGACTTATATACTGCGTGCAAAGGAAAGAAGGGTGTGTGCAAGTCGATAGCTTTAAAACTGAGAGACTAGTTTGCGTAGAAACAGACAGACGGACATGCTCATATCAACTCAGGAGGTGATCCTGATCAAGAATATATATACTTTATAGGGTCGGAGATGTCTCCTTCACTGCGTTGCATACTTTTGGACAAAATTATAATGCCCTCTGCAAGGGTATAAAAATAAATAAGAAATAAGAATCCGCTTTATTGAAGGAATCTAAAATAGATTAGGTTATGTTTGTATTTTGCTTATTATTTTTGGTTTTAGTTTTTAGGACTGTCAATTAACTGTGGTCAAAACTCTTCATTCAAAACTATCATCGAAATCCTTTTCATTGTTTTCTATAGACCCTCCTTCACCTAAAAGCTTCATGTGGATTTTTAATTTTATTTTGCCTTTGAATGCGTTTTTCTAGGTAGACTGACGAAATAATTTGATCTGATGATCCATTGCTCGACGGAAAACATCACAAGAATTATCAATTCGGTCTGAATGCAATCTGATTTATAGAGCTTATTTTGTTAATGAACACACCCAATCAAAATGTCTGCTTTGATATGCTGTTGCATTTGAGCGTCATTTCTTCCATTTTGCCGCTAAGTGACAGCATATACTTTTGCTAGTTTCCTTAAAAGCTTTTTTTTTGTTCTCTGATATATTGGAAAATTTTATTTCCAATATTTTATAGTTTTATTTTTAAATAAATCCATAATTGCTTTTTCCTTGGATGCTTGAGGGTTCATTGACTTCCATACTACAAACAATATGGAAGGAAAAGTATTTTATTAATATCTTAACCATTGAAAAATGTTTTTTTTTTTAATATTTGTAAAATACCAACTTTAAAACAACAACAATTTCAATATTAAAAATAATTTTAAAGATTTATTTTAATATATAAATGTGTATTTTATATTTCCTTCTCCGTTCCGCCTAAACTTTCTTTATCGTTATTTGTAAAACCTAAATTTGTGTTTTGCTTCCCA